ATTTACAAAAACTTAATTTTTAACATTAGTAAATATGAAAATAAAGCGTAATATCTGTCACATAGATTTATATCACTTGTAGGACAGAAAGATGAGCGAATCACTTTCCAGTTATAACACTCGAATGATCAAGTGAGATGAAAACTTAACAACATTAGTCAAAAAAAGATATATTAATGTCATTCAAAGTACTACGACTATCTTCATCATTAGTTCTTCCTTGTTTAGATGAAGAACATCCAAGGCCGGTAAAATCAGTAAGAGAAACGCGTTTTTAAGAGCAAAACTGTGGATTTTTTACACATTCAAAAAGGTTTTTTTTGAGGGGAAAAAGCGACTTTGAAGATGATAGCATCCATAAGCTGTTTTTTTTAAAGAGAAACTTGAGATTTTTAGTGTAAGACGTGCGTATGTTAAGTCATTAAAGAGTCCTTTGGCTGCTGAGAACGTTTTATTTTTAAATGACATTTTTAAAAAATTTCGGGGTTTTTTGGAGTCGGAATCGGAGTCAAAAAATAAAAATTTTCGGAATCGGAGTTGGAATCGGAGTCGTAAAAAGAAAGATTTCGGAATCGGAGTCAGAGTCGAAAGAAAGAAATTTTTCGGAGTCGGAGTCGGGTTTCGGAATGAAAAAAGTTGACTCCGCAGGTCTCTACTCGCCACACGCTAACCCAAATAATTATTCTTCACATCGCTGACGAACAACGTTACTGCATTCATGGAACATTATCCAATTGAGTTTCGGCATTTATAATAGTTAAACATACCAACACCAGTAGTATTTTTTTTTTATCTCAAATATCATTGTCAATTCTTTAGCAATAAGCCTCAGCAGCGCTAAATGTATTTTTATGAATCTACTTTTTAATTGACGGAAAAATTGACCAACCAAATGATTGCTACATATATATGTCCAAGTTGAAAGTTGAATTGAACTCAAGTTTAGAGTTTCAGACACACATACGCACACATCTCTCTCGATATGGGTGCCGTGGAAACATATGCGCTCGAAACTTGAAGTTTGAAACATGAAACGTTTATTGAAATCAAGTTCCAAGTGTGACACTACTGAAGAAGTACCGTTTTCTTGAGTTCGATCGGACGAGAAGAAATTAAAATATTTGTTTTGTTGCCGTATATAATAAGAAAATAATAAGTAACACCTATCGGGTTCGTATGTCTCTCTTTCTGTATTTGCTCTCATTTTTTCGTTCTTTCGTTCTCCCTATTTTTTCTTCGTCTGCAACCTTCAATTTCCTCTCAGTATGTGCTTCACATACTGTCACTCTAGTTGACAACAGCATCAAGCAAAGTGAAACAGTCTGGTTGCTGCATTTCGTTCTCTGAAAAAGGTATTACATTATTTGAAATTTTCATGAGATAGCATCTGCTGCCGGTGATATACTGAATTGTTATCGAATTCATTTTACTTACATCAATTCTACTAATATAGTGTGAATGCGTTGAGAAGTCCCTACAATTTACTATAGTAGCCAGCAGTGGCCAAGTTCCCAAGAGTCGGGAACTCTTTGAGACTTGGGAACTCAACAAATCAATTAACAAGAACGAGCGCTGAGAAGCTAAAACACGTCCACGATATTAGGGATTCTACTATATAACGGAACTCAGAGAAGTCAAGGATATCAGGGAAGTCAGGGAATTCGGGGATATCAACGAATTCAGGCAAACTCTGGAAAGTCAGGAAATTCTGGGATATCAGGGAATTCAGGGAACTTTGGGAGGTCAGGGAATTCATGGAACTATGGGAAGTCAGGAAAGTCAGGGAATTCTGGGATATCAGAGAACTCTGAGAGGTCAGGGAACTCAAGGAACTCTGGGAAGCCAGGGAGGGTGTGGGTGTGGGTGAATGTGCGTGTAAATGTTGATCTATCGCATGGTTTTACCCAACACCCACGCCCCACACCCTCCGAAAGTTCCCTGAGTTCGATCAAAAAAAGTGAGCTCCTCACGTCAACTACAAATTTGGAGCTCACTTACGCATCCATATTTTACCCATTGACATCAGTCCGTGCTTTATAGTAGATAGCAAATATAGCACTATCATCAAATCCAGTCATAGACAATCTGTATAATGTAGCTGTAAATTAAATAATGAACTAGTACTCATCTTAATTAGTACTCATATAATTAAGACTCATAAAAGAAAGTATTCACCTAATCAGGACTAATTAATCTGAGTATTGAAAACTTCTCAAGCACAAAGCTAGACAGCACTGAAATTCATCATGAATGCCTATCGGATGCGACTACCCATAGGTCATCAAGGCCTATGCTATGGAGGTACCCTAAGAGCTGTACAGCTCACACTAATGTTTATTAGCCGCTCATATTAGCGCGAGCATTTCTACACTGTTTGATAGCGGTTGGCTATCGGCCCGACGGATCAAGTGCAAGAAAACCGTTTTCTTGTCTATTTTAAGGAGAAAACATACTATTGTTCGGGTCATATGAAAGAGAACCCTTGATAACCTACAGTTCCGCCCGAACAGCCCTAGGTTTTGTCCTTCGAATTAGGGAAAACAACAGCCCTGAAATCTGATTGGTCCAGCTATCACCTAATCAGATTTCAGTACCACTTTTTTTCTGTTACTTTAAGGGCAGAACATAGGGTTGTTCCGGGCGATGTATAGGTTATCGAGGATTCTCTTTCGTATGGCCCGAACAATAGTAGATTCTGTCCTTCAAATAGAGAAGAAAACGACTTATTCGGACGTGATTAGTCGATAGCTAACGGGTGTCAACAAGTGAAGAAACACAAGTTCATATGAGCTATCGTGAGCATGACTGTAAAGGCCTACTATGTGTACTGCTATACGATAATCGCTGAGTGCTTATGGGTACCCCCAAAAGATAGGGTTCGAGAACTTATGGGTACCCCAATGGCGTAGCCTTTTACGACCTATGGGTGTTCCCATATTGTAGCCCCTGAGCTAATTTGGGTGCTCCCATATTAGACGCCATGAGTACCTGTGAGTATGTCCACAGGAGAGCTTTGAGAATTTATGATTACTCATCTTGATTAGTGCTAATTAAATGAGTATCTGCTTGAATTAGTCCAATTGAGATGAGTACTAATTTGAGTGAGTACTAAAGAAGGTGGGTGCTAATTAGGGTGTGTATTAATTAAGGTGAGTACTAATTAAGGTGAGTACTAATTAATGAAGTAATTAAGATTTACACATGATTCATAGTTAATGGGTTTTGATTGATGGGACCCTGCTAAGTGCTATGAACTCTATCACCATAACAGAGATCAATGAGTAAAATACAGATGTGTAAGTCAGCTCCAAATTTGGAGTTTACGCAATTTAGAGCGCTCTTTTTTTTACCCCTGAGTTCCCTGAATACCCTGAGCTCCCTGACTTCCCAGAGTTCTCGGACTTCCCTGAGTTCCGTGAATTCCCTGACTTCCCAGAGTTCCCTGAGGTCCCTGAATTCCCCGGGTTCCCGGACTTCCCTGGCCTCCCACAGTTCCCTGACTTCCCAGAATTCCCAGAGTTCTCTGGATTCCCAGAGTTCCCAGAGTTCTCTGAATTTCCAGAGCTTCCGGACTCCCCAGAGTTCCCTGAATTCCCTAATATTGTTGACGTGCTTTAGTTTCTCATCGCTCGTTCTTGTTAATTGATTTGTTGAGTTCTCAATTTCCAAAAAGTTCCCGACTTCTGGGAGCTTGGCCAGGTCTCATACTTTCCATAAGAGGTATATTTAACGCAGCAATTGACAGCACTGTAATGCACTTTCACCTACGGGTGCCCATTTCTCTTTCTGCTCTGCAAACACATTTTATAATTAGTAATTAATTTTTTTGGTGTTCTTGTAGTCTACCAGTAATAGTCAGAACGAGTGAAATGCGCTCCACGTCACTTTGTGCGAAATTGACTAATGTCTAATTCAGAGAGAAAGCATAAAAACTGAGCATAGCTGATCAAAAATCCAGTTTTAGGACACAATTTGTTTTTTGCTATATATATATATAGTCAGTTAAGTTAAGCTACGTAAAAACAGTTTAGTATATATCCCACCTATTGTAGCAAAGCAGTGTTCAAAGTAAAGAACACTTTGAAACGAGAAGTCTTGCTACAATCAGTTGTGATGATTAGAGGGATACAACACTTACTCTGAATGACCCATAGATAGTGATCTATTGGGGATAGAAGGGTTGCCGTCATATTGGTGCGGTCAAATAATCCGAGCGAGTAAGTTACGTGTACAGGAGAATAGGAACAACGTGTGAGATCATTCCTTTCAGATTATTGTTTCTTGATCTTTTCCAATACGGATATCCAAAATAAGCATACTTAATTTACTTTGATTCATAATTCTACAACAAAACGCAACATTCTTTCAATGAAAAGATTTATGAATCCAATAAGTAATATCTCAATTCGTACTGATACTACATTTCTCGGTGAAAACTCGCTGTTTTCGAACAGGTTTTGTCATTTTATTGCAATGAATCTCAAATACAAGTTTGTTGAAGAAAAGTATAACACTTTTGAGGATAATGGTATTGAGAAGAAGACTATTGATTACAAGTAGTGTAAAATTGAACCGATTGTCATAAAATTAGTATCTCACTAACTAAGAATAAGTATAATAACGTGGATAATTATAGTATTATATTGCTATCGTTAACTGTTACCTTTGATGTTAGTGTTCCCACGAATAAACAACCTTACATAATGATAGCAGAATGAAAAAATATGATGTCTATTCGGGATTCGACAATCCAACATCTACTATCTTAGCACATGCTCCAAGGTAATAGGACTAGAAAAAGCCATACTTTCTCTGTTTAGAAGTGGAGAAGAAAACCTCGATTTTCACAATCGTTGTCTTCTTCGGTTAAAAATGCTTTATCTTTTGACTTATTTGTGTTTCGTTTTAGAGAACAAACAACGGCTGCGTAACAAGACGAAAGTACACAACATATATCTTTCTTTTTCTCTTTTAGATTCTATTTTTCTAGCATAATCTCAATGATTAAATTTCCTTCTCCTCATGATCGTGTACTTCCACACCAGATTCAAGTTACATTTCCAGAAGATTTAGCAACAAAAGAAGTTACTCTTGATCGAGTGATTGGCTCTCTTATCGGATTAGCCGTAGGTGATGCACTAGGAGCCAGTGTTGAGTTCCGGCCACGTGATTATCTTCTACATCATCCTGTTTCTGACATGCAGAAAGGAGGCACATGGGGTCTTAATGCAGGTCAATGGACAGATGATACATCTATGGCATTATGTCTCGCTTCATCATTCATTACTAAACGATGTTTTGATCCTTACGATCAAATGGTTCGTTATAAATGGTGGTATAAATACGGTTTTCTCTCATCCACTGGACATTGTTTCGATATTGGTAGTGCTACACGTCGAGCGCTTGATGAATTTTGTCGTCGTCAAAGATTTCTAAAAAATTTCTATCATTGCAAGACCGACGAAGAAGTCGATCGACTTCCACTAGAGAAAGTTCTGGGCATAAAAGGTTTCAGTCCGGAATGTAGTTCAGCAGGTGTCGCTGGAAATGGAGCTCTCATGCGTCTTGCTCCTGTACCCCTTTTTTATTTTCGATCACCTGTGGAAGCCGTTGGCTATGCTGGGCGTAGCGCCACATTGACTCATGGAGATGTAATAGCACGCGATGCTTGCCGATACTATGCAGCACTTATCGTAGCGGCTATCCATGGTGAATCCAAAGAGAAACTATTAAGTAATGGATTCTACAGCAATCATCGAGATTGGTTCGGATCGAAAAATCTTCACCCAGAAATACTTCAGGTGGCTCAAGGTTCTTACAAGCGACCTCATGGGTATGACGATGGAATTAGAGGCAAGGGATATATAGTGAGTGCGCTGGAGGCTGCTCTGTGGGCCTTTTATTATGATGACGACTCATTCGGAAAAGGGGTTCTTGCTGCTATCCAGCTCGGAGACGACACTGATACTACAGCAGCCATCTATGGTCAGTTGGCTGGTGCTTGCTATGGCTATCAAAAGATTCCGGAAAGTTGGCGACGACAGCTCTATGCTGATAGATTGATTACTAGTATCGGTCATTGGCTGCATTTTCTCGGAAAACAGCAGCCTAATACGCAACAACAATTACAAAAAGTGGCTGTAAAATACCCAGTTCTCACTACAAATTCTCAATCTCAAAATCGACAGCTAAATGTTGCAACATCTTCGCGCAATGGAATACAATCGAATACATCTGCTCCTGGTTATATGGGCTATTCTCTATATCCTTCTCCATCATATGCTGCGTCAACTCAAGTGTTTCGACAAAGCAATCCTCATGGTATTTATAATTCCGTCAACATTGGTCACAATAGCGACTGGAACCAGCCATCTGTTGATTCATTGCCTGCTCTAGATTTACCCAGACATCAAGGAACCCTAAAATCATCCGGTTATTACATGCCTGCCAATTATTCCAGCAAACGTCCCTACTATTAACATTACTGGCAGCTAGCTCTGGAGATTCAATTAATTGCACAGTTCGCTTTTCAAAGTCCGATCACCAAGCAACAACACATACAATTTTAAAAGTACAAGTCGTTTTCTAACACATTGTACAAAAATACGTAATCCTATGAAATATTCCATAATCAGAAAAAACAATAAAATAAACAAACTATAAAGTAAAAGATAACCTTGCAATAAAGGTCGAAATTCGATTATCAAAGAATTCCAGGCAATTCAACTGGAAATATGAAATTTTTTTATCTAAATATCGAATTTAAGAAAGTTTAAATGAGTATGGAAAGATTTTATGAGCTATGGTTGATTTCTGCGGCTTCCAAAAGGAATAGGAAAATATGGAAAATCAGAGAAGCTTATGAGACTGATGATACCTACGCGATGGAGTTAATCTTCAGCAGTCATCCCCAAACATATCTTATTTTCTCATCCCTTTTTCTCAAAAGTTTTGGAATTTTAGAATGCGCTGGTCGTTGTGTCACTGTTTTATTCAACTATCGATCGGAGAAAAGTCAAGAACAAATATGCTGGATTGAATAAGATTGTTGAGACTTTCTATTAATTTCGGATACTCACGAAATCAGTCATCGGTGAACATTATCCACCATCATTAGAACAAAGATACCAGACCATAAGTCTTTATTCTTGCTAAATCACTACCTTCTGTTATTCATGTTTACCCTGCGAAAAGGACATTTTTTTAGTAAGATTTCATATCCGTTTCTCTGGCGATCAGAAGCAAAACTCGCATGACTACAATCATTATTTTCATTTATTCAATAATTTAGATTCATATCCAATAATCTCGTTGTTCACTTCTCATGACTTCGCTTGATAAAATATGAATTCATGTCTTCAAAAGCAGCCATTTTAGACATTGTTTGTTTTCTTCATTTTTCTTCACAAAGATCTGCACTTGATTTCATTAGTTTGTCGATACAACTTTTTCAATGAAGGCATACTGACATATTTCTTCACGATAATATATTGATTACATTTGATATTTCATCACAGTCTATACGACAAGAGAATGGCTTTTATTAATTTATACAAAAGCAGGGTGTGTGGATGTGACGTGCGATGTGGGTCTGGGTGTAGAGGTCATTCATCTCTCGTTTCACACCCAACCCCACAACCAAATAGAATTAGGAATTGAGAATGGTTTGTATCAGATATGAACATCGATTTCTGAATCTCCACCATCAAGCAAGGAGCCTGAGCACGATTTTTGCATTTGTATATGATGAACAAAATTTTTCTGCATTTTTGAATCAACATCGATAGATTTATCGTTACATTCGGTACACAACAAATAAATCAAATGCGAACGGTTCCGACTGTCCACATAATTCTTTAATGTCGGATGATTTGGGGGTGGTCAATTTGACTGGTACCCCAACATTGATTTATTGATGCGACTACATCTACTCATTAGAAAAATCTGATTTTTTTACCAGTTATACTACATATATAGTGCTATTGATCCATCACTATTTGAAATCTATATATCACTAGAAATGAGAATTATTAAGTGCATCTTTGTATTGATTGTGCTAAACGTGCTTCACGTGGTATTTGTTTACATCTTGTGCTTGGCATATATTTTATCCATTCTATTCCAATGTTATATTCAAGTCAAGTCATTCTTGTTCTAGCTGTAATTTTTTTCACTTTCTTTTGTTCTTCGTTTTCTTTAACACACTTTTGATCGATAACAAATACATAGTACACTTGAATTATGTTTTCTCCACAAATTGAATGGAATTGTGCTCAGTGTGGATCTGCTCCAACTGATCGTCGAAAATATTGTACTGATTGCGATTCGATGCTAACTTAGACATGTACTGGTTCGGGAAAATCTGGTTTGTACACGCATTGTTATCGTCATCGTGACAGCTGTAATTATTGTACACCAGAACTTGAAGAAGAAAGAGAAAAACAAACGGAAGAGAAGAACGTTTCTATTCAACAACGCTTTCAAACTTTAGATGATAGTAAGTAACATCGATTTGTTTCGATTTATGCATGTATCTCTTAGCTCATTATCTAATTCTACACTAGTAGTCAAAAATAAATCACTATTGATTTTTTTTTATATACTCTAGATCAACGTCCATGGTCAGAATGGAAACGCACTGATACATCTTGCATACAACACACTGGGCAGGACGTTGAACAAGTACAAGAATTGTATTCTATGTGTGAAGAACCATTAATAAATTATTGTTCACATAGGGACAAGTTACATTGGAACAGTACCGGCACATCATATTTGTCTCCTATGAATTTGCTTGTGGTTACATTATGGTATTTAAAGCATTATCATTCTGAACGCTACATTGCTTCAGAATTGAATTTTAGTCGAACAGCAGTGAATTATTTGTTATCAGCAGTAGTGGATATTTTACATTCGTGTGTATATCCAGCATTTCTTTATTTACCTGCTGATCTAGCTAACAGAAGAACACCACACGGACCTCAACAACATCATAAATTAATTGTTGACTCGACTTTTATTGCAATTCCTGAACCACATGATTCAGAACAACGTAAAAAATATTACCATGCAAAAAGTCCAACAAATTATGCAATAAAAGTACAAATAGCTTGTGATTTTCGTCATCGAATAGTACATGTATCTGAATGTTACCATGGAAGTAAACATGATATTACAGTTCTTCGAGAATCAGGTCTCTTGGAACATGTTGAAGAATCTGTACAAATTATTGGTGACAAGGGATACATCGGTAAAGAATATGTAGTCACTCTAAGAAAGAAACCTCATGCACGTGAATTAACACCAGAAGATGAAGATTTCAATCGTGATATTAATAGTGCGAGAGCAACGATTGAAAATATTAATCAACGTCTTAAAACTTACACTATTCTTGGTGGTGTTTACAGAGGACCTGTTAATGATTTTCATAAAATAACTAAAATCATACAAGTCGTTGCTGCTTTATGTAATTTGAACTTAAATAAACATCCTATTCGTAGATAAATAACATGATAAGTTGTTTCTTCTTATTATTTGTTTGAAAATGAAGCTATATACTCATCTTTGGTTTTGTTTCAAACCTCTTAGGAGGAATGGTATAGATTAACACAGACGATATGAAGCACGTTTAACTCAATCAATACGAAGATGCACTTAATAATTCTCATTTCTAGTGATATATAGATTTCAAATAGTGATGGATCAATAGCACTATATATGTAGTATAACTAGTAAAAAAATCAGATTTTTCTAATGAGTAGATGTAGTCGCATCAATAAATCAATGTTGAGGTACCAGTCAAATTGGCCACCCCCATTTATATTTGATAGAGCTTCATCTATTAGCTACATACATTTTTTTGTTCTTATTTTTTAAAAGAGATGAGGTCAATTTCTCATCACCAGGGTAATACTTCTGTAGAATACCTTGTAAAATCCACGATAGATATCCATCGTTCTGCGGAATATTTCTACCGGTCACCATCGCTAAATATCGAATGAATTCCATCCATTTGAAAATCGAAAACGTAAGCGAAGATGATCGAAATGTAAATGAAGAATTTGTTGAAATCTATCGAAATTTTTCTCGGTCAGCAAACGACACAGATGTTTGGTCGCCGTCATCGATAATTCGGCTGATGTAAATGGTGATTGATTGAGAATTTCGATCAATTTTGATATATAATTATCGTTGGTTAATGTTGGTAACAACTTACAGAAAATATCAAGAAATTTGACACAATGCGATGGCTGTTGGACGTAAATGAAAAATTAATGAATTTTTTGATTAACTATTGAGTTGCGAATAGTTTCTTAGGAAACTCGAGTTTGAAAGACTTGTTGAGCATTGATCCAGCGGAATAACAGCGCAATACGTATCATTTTACGGTTCAATTGTTTTCTTGCCATCAAATGACTGACGTACCATTTTTTTAAAAATAATCTCAGCAGTGATTGAGTAATAGCTGCCTGCTCCGGGCAAGGAAAAACACATGATGTCTATGTGGCAAAATTAGTCATGAGAAGCGATGAGTTCAAGAAAAAGTAAGAAAAAAACAGAAGTGAGATCGAGACAAAATTTTGATGTATTGCCGTATAGTAAACAATTCAATACTGGCTACCGCCAGTCGCTCACAACCGTATATTACCATTTACGATACAGCGTTCTATGATCGTCTTAAGGTTGGTAGAAATACGGCAAAAAAAAGACTGTACACGATCGTGTTGTAACGTCCATAGGACGGCTTATTTGATAGAAATGCTTTTCGTACATTACTAAAATTCATCCACTAATAATTGTGTTCAGTCATTTCTGTCCTCACCTGTCCAGGAGAGAATGAAGTGTCAATCTCAATCTTTTCATATTAAAACATTGATCCGATATCGTTTTCTGTGCATTCTATACATAAGTTATTGTAAAACCACCCCCAAAGAAAATTGCCTTCTCACAGCAAAGATGTTCATTGCTTCTCATATCCGTCAGGCATTATCACTGGTACCCTTTTTACAAAACATAGATCGTGTGGAGAAATGAAGCGAACAAAATTATTTGCTTCTCATCAATTAATAAAAATGAAATTTCAATGAGAAGATGAGAAAATAGAAAANATTAGTAATTCACATTAGACAACACAGGAAGAAGTTCTTCTATTTTGCAAAATTAAATATATTTATAAATATATGATATATTTCTCGCTAAGTCGATAGACATTTCTCTCTCCCTCTCTCCTGACGTCCAGTCATGCATTCAAATAACATAAAATCTGTTTCAAAATTATTCAACCGTTTTCAAGGTGCCAAACGATTAAACTTTCATTATATGTGTTGTAAATTATAAGGACAATATTAAATAGGCTTGCTATTCATAGATATATTCATGTAAAGAGAATATTTTATGACACAGTAAAATGAAGAAAGTGGTAACTAATGTTGTTGATGCATGATAATTATTTTTGTAACTCAGCTTCTAAGTTTCTCGAAAAACAGACTGACCTATCTATCTTGAAGAAAAGATAAATACAATCTGCTTGTACTCCACGTTTGCTTTTCAGCAATCGATTATTTTGTCGAGATTTAAATGAATTTGAAAATAATAATTTATTGTGACTTGTGCCAGAAAAAAAGTAATTGTAAGAAATGCAGATTTTAATTTGCCAACGCGTTTCATGTTCTTTATTGAAATATTAAAACACTCTTCAGGGCTCTGCATTACATGTTCAAGCACAAAATAAAAAACAAACAACAATATATTCTGATATACGAACAATTAAAATCAACAGAAAGACAAAGAGACAAAAAGAAACGTAGCTTCTCGAAAAATCGACAAGATCAAGAAATAATGTAAAAGATACAATACAACCAGACAGAGAGAAAAACCATGTAACTTTTCGGAATAAGTTAATGTCTTAATTTTAATTCTTGTAAAGCTAGCTTGTATTGTATTAATCAGCATACTGTAACCGGTATAATGCTTCATTTTATGTATAATCATTTATTTTAATTTTTATGGCTTGTCTTATTCCAATTTTTATAACCAGTTATTTTAATTTTATTTTTTTACAAAATCAAATTGAATGAATACTATTTGTTATGGATAAGCTGCTGTTGTAAATTTTTAACATTACGAGTATCCAATACCGGTTTTATTTCATTTATTGGAGACTCAATAAAGTATTTGTTCCAAAGGGTATGAAATTTTACCGGAAACGTTTTCATGTTTAAACAATAGGTAAAATGAACAAACATCGTTTTACCATAATCAATTAGAATTTTCTCTTGTCTACGAGCACACATAATTTTTTCACGTGATATATTATAATTTTTTGTAGATAGTGGTTGAGTAATATAATATTTTTGAAATACACGGCTGAATTGTTTATCTATAAAATCACCGGGATATTTATTTAACAATAGAGCCATTCTTAATTTTTCACGTTCATATGAATATGCATCGAATGTTGAACAATATTTAATAGTACGAATTAACATTTCAAATGGAATATTCTTTTTCATGTGCATGGGATGGATACTATTGAATGGTAAATAGTATGGTTCATACGACGGTTTATGATAAACTTTTGTAAATACTTCACCATTCTTGTTTTCTATATATACATCGAGGAAATTTATTGAATGACCAACTTCAGCTTTTAATTTTATATTTCGATCGAATTTATTCCATCGATCAATTTGTTTTGATAGATGTTGAATAGGCCAGTTGATCGCAATAAATATATCATCAATATAACGTAAATAGAGTCCATTACTATTCTTCACTTGTTTAACAATATCTTGTTCAAAAAAGAACATATAACAGTTTGCAATTGTTAATGTTAGCGGAGAACCCATAGCACCACCACGTACTTGATGATAATATTTACTATTATAAGAAAAATAATTATTTTGTACCACGAATCGGCTTAATCGAATAATTGTTTCGATTTTTAAACCATTAATTTGTTTTATGTTCAAGAAGTCTAACATTTTTCTAATCGATAGTATTCCTTCTGTTTGTGGTATCATTGTATAAAGATCCATAACATCCATTGTACGTAGTAAAGTTTCTTGACGCATATTACGTTTTGACCATTCATGTAACTGTTTAATAATCTCAGTTCCAGAAGTAACAGTTGTGTTTGATGCCATTTTATCAAATAATGGTCGAAGCAATTTGTCGAGAAATTTTGATATCTTTATAGTTGGATGTTTGAGTCCAGAAACAATTGGTCGAAGTGGAGTGCCAGGTTTATGTGCTTTTGGTAAATAATATAAATGGGCTAATTCCACTTCATTTGGTTTGATGCCTAATTGCTCATATTGTCTCTGTGAAATCCAATTATTCAATCTTAAATTTAATAAATATTTATTTGTACGTTGAATTAAATCTGGTAATGGATCATTTTGGTGTAAACATTCATATGGTCCAGTTTTTTCCATATATTCATCTGATTTTTTGTGGTAATCTTGCAATTTACCTAAATGAAAAACTTTAGATTTATCTGTTTTTTGCAAAACTATACTAGTCGAGCGAAGCTTTTGTTTTAACCGTTTAACCAATCTACCATAGTTTTTCTTTTTTTTCAGTTTTTTCAGTAATAATTGGACACTTAGTAATTTGATATTGATTCGAATGAATTGTTTCTAATAAATTGTCATATGGAATTATTTCATTTTTTTGTATACGTTTTCGATTTGTTTTATTATTATCACTTTCTTTTCAAAAAATCGTGCTTCAAGTTTTCGTTTTAATATAGCCAGCTCAGTTGCACGTCGTCGAGCAGCCGCTTTTGGATCATTATAAATAAACCGAGGACCTAATTTTAATAATTGGTGTTCTTCCTCGGTTAATTTTACTTGTGCTTCATTTATTATATTTGGGTGTGGGTGTGGGTGTGGATGTGGGTTTGGGTCTATTTATGGGTGGGTGAGGTGTGAGTGTTGGGTATGAGTGTTGGTGCAAGTCTGTGGGTGTGGCTGGCGATGTTCTGTTAAATCACACCCACACCCACACCCACACCCACACCCACACCCACACCCAAATATAATAAATGAAGCACAAGTAAAATTAACCGAGGAAGAACACCAATTATTAAAATTAGGTCCTCGGTTTATTTATAATGATCCAAAAGCGGCTGCTCGACGACGTGCAACTGAGCTGGCTATATTAAAACGAAAACTTGAAGCACGATTTTNAAGAGTACATTAATCAACGCCATCATTGGTAAAAAATTGGCTGAGACTGGTCCAGGTCCAGTTCCTATAACACAAGAATCAACATGTTATGAACTCAAAGGTACTTTTCCGGAAATCACTGATCGACAAACAAATGAGAGATACGCCGATGCTCAACAATTTCGAATTAATATTTGGGATACAAAAGGAATAAAAACATGGGATTCATCCATCATTGATATTGTTAGACAAAAAAAGCCAATGTGTGTTATATTATGTGCATCTCCAGGTTCGTTTGCTAATGATAAATTTATTCGTGGATTAATTAGTGAATGTGTTAATTTCAATATCTTTATTGCACTTGTTTGTACAAATTCATGGAATGGTTCTGATGACAAACGAAAAGCAGTCATGCAAGACTTTCATGATTTACTAAAGGTCAGTTATAGTATTCGATAGGATAGTTGTTTTTAAAATAGATTAAACATTTGAATTGATCATAGATGGAAAGAATTGAGAGAGTTTATAAGATTACAATTCTTATGTATTCATAACTAAAAGTTTAATAGTCGGAGACGTGATAAAGCATTATTTCGCTAATGTCTATTTAAATACCTGGAGCAATTAGCTAAAAATTTTCAATCGAGTAGAAGTCGTCTAGTTCGTTCAAAAAATCATTCTAGATCAGAAGAGCAACGATTGTATTACATCGACAAGTGAAGATTTCTTTGTCATTCGTCCGTCTTTATTTTAGACTATCGATGTTCAGCATCCGAGAGATCTTTTGCTTATATCTACTTCGGTAACAAAAACTTGAATTTCGCATGTTTTTTGCTTAGAAAAAGAGAATTAATAACAAGCGAAGATTTCTAAATATGTGTATTAATCAATTACTGTCATGAGAAATGTTTGATATCGAACCTTGTATCATTTTGAAGTATCGTCATGGCAAAACGTAAATGATTGTCTAATTCAATGTAATGTATCTTGGAAAATATTTGTAAAATTTTATCCGTACTTTTCTATAGATGTTCTAAAAGATTTGAAAATAAATTGTCAAATTGAAAAACTCCTTGACGTGATGGATCAGAATGAGTTTTTCAAGCTTTATAATCTGATTTAAAAAAAAGTATATCTTATAGAGCTACAATCAAAATATTTATGAAGAAAACAGTATTCACTATTATGGCAATATTGGACTAACAGCAATGGTAAATAGTGTTGAGTATATTAACCGACGACTTGACATAGAAAAACCAAAAAGTGGTATTGGTACTTTACTTTTCGGCATTATGAAATCATTAAATAGTGATAAATTATTGGGATGGAGCTATACACTTATGGAAAATGATGGGTTTTGGTCACAGATGCAAGCACAAATTCAAGATTTCTTTGCAGGAGAATTTATCTATGGTAAATCAATATTATGGTCATTATCAAGAGGTAAGACGTGGTGTCAAAACTAAATTGGTAATATATTATAGAATCAGGATTTGCCATTTTTCTAATTATGTATATTTTATACGTTGTTATATTCGAGAAAGAGAATTCTATTTTTGATGAAATATTCTTTGTTTCAATAAAAGTTATCAAGGCAATCCTTAGGGAACTAAAGTATGAGACACGATGCAGCCGCTCTATTTGTACATGAAGACTCTCGCTATATTGATAACAATCTGCGACAAGATCAAATGAATGGGTATGGATGTGAGTGTATGGAGTGAGTGCCGGTGAGTGGATGAGCTGTGGATGTATGCCTTTTATTCATTCACACACACACATATAGGTTTCGGTATTTAACGTGTCATATGTAAATGTCTGTCCACCTATAAATCTCGTTTTTTTCGTTTTGATTAAACTTTCTGCAACTATGATAAAAGATGAATGTAAAGTACTCAACAAATCGTTCAATTAATTTACTGTCCTCGATTAAGAGAAAAAGGAACATTGTTTTTGGAAGAATGAAGGAAAAATAATTGGTCTTTTGAGCTGACCAAAGGAAGAACATAATGAGCCTTCTTCGAATCATTGATAAATTTTCATAAATAACAAAAGAAAAGTGCAATGACAGTCAAATAGAAAGTATCTGAAATTCTGAAAATTTGCGAAGCCATAAAGATTTCGCAAAAGCTTGCAAAATCCCGATTTTGTCTGAAAAATCTGGCAAAATTTGTTTTGTTCTCTTTCAATGCTTGATGTTTCTTCAATAGTCTTACTCTTATTTATTGTTTCTGACGACTCATATCTCTCCTAGATATTTAAAACTTTGTAGAAAATAACAAGGAATACTATCTTGTCTTAGTTAAATCAGTATTTTTCATCCAGGTCGCCACTTGATCGTCGTCTATAACAATTACCGACCTCCTCTCTGACGATTATAAACAACTGTAATTTTCAGTAGCAAGGACAAAGATGAAATAAAAGCAAATCGGCACAAAAAGGATAAAACAATCACGAAGAGATTTAGTGTAGTATATTTAGACAGGAGATTTTTAAACGTTCATGATCACGAAATATTTCTAGTTCTGAAGCTTTTTCGTTTTCTCTTCGAGTTTTTTCTCGGTTGTAGTGTTTTCATATTGTTGGCTTTGAGGTTGATATAGACGTACATATCGGAAAAAAAAGCATCACATGCAATGTGACCGTTATAATCGATAATCGCACTATGCTTCATTTCACGATTTTGTATTTCAGATAACAAAAAACGAACTTCTAGCTACTTTGATCTTCTTTATGATTATATCCAACAGAGATTGCAGAGAAAATCATTCAGTAAACAATAACAATATGGTTTGTGTTTTTTCTTAAGTGAATAGATTATTCATTATTATTAATCTACCATGCTGGTATTCGGGTGCAATGCTACTCTTACTATAATTTATCCATTTTGATAGAGTAGAAGAATCATGAGTTTATAAATATCTGTTGAAGTTCTGCGCTTTTAGAATATCTCCCAAAAAGCGAGGAAAAAAATATTAGGCATATTCACCACTTAACGCTTTTTTTTCATATTTCCTAGACATGATTCCTTATTGTCAATGCGCCATGTGAATGGTAAATGCGAAAATATACACAGATTTAAGAGTTTTTTTTTTCGATTACGTGTATGTGAATAAGGAACTGCTTTAGAATATGAATTGCGTACGTTAAGTAAAAGCAACTGATGATCATAATAAATATGCATATACAGATATCTATGCGTTTTACGTGAGAAGTGCTAATCGAGCACTACAATTTAGTATGTTTTATGAAACTTTAAGATCTCTGCATTTGCTTAACATTAATTAGTGAAACCTCAAATTCTGAAATATCAAAGACATAAACGCTTATGGACATGAACTTTTGATGTGAATTAGATTGCCCTTTTTTCAATCTTGTGACATATGAGTGAATTGTAAATTTTTGGTACAGTTGCGGTTTTAGCTGTATTTGCATGATAGCCTTTGCTCTCATTGATCGATTCGGAGAATTTTTCTATTTGTTACTACTGTACCATATCGACTTACACTGCGAAAAAAGTCGTATATTATATGGAGATGTGCACAGAAAATTATATTTTCTAAGTATAAAAATAAAGAGATAAAGAATGTGACGAATAGCCCATTTTGTAGGGTCTGAAATGTTCCATTTAATGATATCTCTTTCATATTTCTCTCACCATTTTTGCACATCCATTCGCTTCCTACACTTAATTATAAACAGCTTTATTTTCGTATTGAACGATCTTATGTTTAAATTTGCTTAGTATGCGTTAGAGTTGAACGAAAATAAAGACTCGCAAAAAACGACAATCGAATAATAAATAAAATGATTGAGAAAATCCTTCTGAATGACTTTCGTTTTTGAATAAAAAAAATCAACTTTTTCCTAAGAATCTGATTTTGACTCACTTTATAGCACGACTTTTTGAAAATGTCGATGTTAATAACCTTCAAACAATTTATCCGGTTTTGCTCGAATGTCAACCATAGGTATAATTCTTTAAGCTATACAAACAGCTAAAATTTCAGCCGTCTACCATCATCTTTCTTAAGATATTTACATTATACGATAGAGTGCAGAACGACCTTTTTTAAAAATTACTTTGTGAACAACTCGTGAAATCAAGGAAGAATAGCAGACTTCTGTACTCCTGAAGTACCAAGCAGTATAGGGAGGTATCGAGAAGTATCATGAAGTATGTGCAAGTACCGTGAAGTACATTAATTTTTACAGTCAGATGAGACAGTTTTTGTTAGCTAAATATATTTATTCAACAGCAAAAATAAATACAACCATAAGAAAATAAGTAGCATCCAGGTTAATTTTTCCTATTTCATTTCCATCATAGATTATTTAAGTTCATTTCGCATGTTGCTCTTACATTCCCGGTTTTGTTATCAAGGAATGATCGTGATTTTTAAAAATGATATTAGCATATATTTCTGTTCAATGTTCAGCGTTAGTCCATTGTGTTGTGCTCGTTATTATGAAAAAGAGAAAAGCTGTAATTTCTTTTCTCTTTAAAAATGATAGTACAAAAGAAAAAGCACAAAAAGAGGATTGGTACTTTATTTTCAACTATTACTACTACTTTCGTTATTTGTTTTTTTTTAATCAAAAACTATATCATAAGGGAAAACTGACTATAGCTTTCTTTTATCTCTGGAGTGAAAGACATACCTAAGAACGAAATAGAACCACATATACACTTCGAGAAAAATCAGGGGTCGTAGCGAAGTACAAGAAGTCTAGAGAAATATGAAGAAACAGGAAAAAGTATAGAAATACAGATGTCTGATTTTTCCCCTTGAGTAGAAAATGGTTGAAACTTCCAGATTCACTGCCAAATCATACTAAACTACATTATTATTATTAACTACTATGATATTGCTATCATTCATGTTTTCTTTCATATTTATTCATTGCATGAATAATGATGTTTACCAAGAGGTAAATGATAGAATATTAATCGAATACATATTGTGGTAATGAAAGCATGGGTGTTGATGGCAGCATCGACCTATCAGAGCAACAGCTTTATCTTATCATTAGCAAAAATAAAATTGTAGCAAACAAGAAGGATAAGAAAGTTGGCGATCGATGGACGAAATCACTTTTTATATCCTCAATATTGATCTTCATTTGCACAATTCAAACTATGAATTTTTCAGAATGACTTGTTTGTTCAAATTGTCATCTCAATTCAATTCACTGAATAGCATAAGCTTGATGAAAGATATGCGATTAATTTGAAAAAGTATTACATGCGATTTTCTCATTTTTTTTATCTTCTCGAATCCTTATGACATAGTATTAATAATGGCGTAGTAGAAAATAGAGAATGAAAATAGGTAAGTATGGTTTCTGTGATGAAATAATATAGAAAAAATGGCATGTTCTGTCAGAAACCAATTGCGACAGTGAAAACAATTCATAGTGATTCATTATGATGCAAATAATCTTATAGAATCTATAGCTTGAACTGTCACAACGATGAACAATAGTGATATAACAGAAGTGTTTCATGAAGAAAAATTCCTATTACATCGGATCAAATTTGCAATCCTACTCACATTAGAAATACCAGCGATTATACTATCCATAATTATCTTTGTCTTCTTTGCCATTCATCGATCTATGCTGAAAGCTCCACAGAATCAGAGTCTGCTAATTCTACTCATAGTTAATTTTATTCAAGTAATATTTGATCTACCACAAGTTCTTCACTTCTATCTCCTCGGTCGTGTAAGTCCATCTACATCGGTCTATTGTACATGGTGGACTTTCATCGATTATACACTTTTTACTACAGGCGAACTTTTAATGGCTACGATTTCTATTCAACGGCACATGCTAATATTTCACGGACNGCAGCTTGCTAAACCTTTTTTTAAGTTCGGTAATAAACCGACTTTTTTAGAGTGTAGACCCATTGTCGTTCGACACAGTTTTCAAGACTCATTGCAAATCTACATTATGCTCAGCGATTTGACCTTGAAGAAGGGGCGAGAATTGCTGCCAATGATACTTTGAGATTTTCAGCGTTTATGGTCGAATTATCGAGATCGAACATAATTCAGGAAATATTCTCGCACCCGATTAGACGGCTTCAAGTCAAAAAATTAAAACTACTTTCATTTTCGCCAAGTTTAGATTGTTCACAAACATCCTAAACCCTTTCAAGATCGGAAAACTTTCTCGGGTATTCTATTTTATAATGGAAAGAAGTAGTATTTGTACAATTTTTACTTTTGCTGGTCGACGTTGTCTCTTGTCGTTTTCAACACAAGCAAATACTAGTATTCCTCTTTTACAATGTGCATTATATCACCTTTGCTTCTGCATTCAATGGTGACTGCTTTTCATTTCTCTCGTCATAGGAGTTGGTTTTTTCGTATTAAAAAGTTATACGCATGATTCAATAACATCAAGCCTTGTTTTCGATATACGTTAGATTACTATAGTTAAGAAATAGGAAGAGGAAAGTATTTCAGCCATTTTAGTGAGTGTGTGTATGTTAAGCAATGATAATGTTAACATTTCACATCATCAACGACGATCATCGGATGGTACTCATTGGGTTTAATGATAAAAATCGAAACAAAGTGGATTGTAAACTGTTGCAAGTGTGTTTGCAAGTGTTGCGCATGCAAGAGAAAACATCATAATTTTGTACTTCGAAACATCTCAAAGTATGATAAAGTCCGGTAAAGTACGATAAAGCATGGTGCAGTGCTATAAAATATGTCTAAGTGTCTATGATTTGTTTAGTTCCAATTCGAAACATGTTTTGCACGAGACATAACGAAATGCAACACTTCTTGTGAGAAAGAACATCAGCTTTAATATTACTAGTGGAACATCTACTTACGGAATACTAAACTAAACAAAGATTGATCAACATTTATGAATAATTTACGTATTCACGACAATAAAAAGCAACATACAAAAAAAAACATCATTGTCAAAAGGTGATTAAACTTTCGAATCGATTTTACCAAAAGAATGTTATCCGATTGCTCAGGATTTAAATATGTTCTGTATTTTTGTATAATTAATGCTGCTTCAGAAAACTTTCCTTCTACGTCTACCGAAGTGGCACGAATTGAAAAGATCGAGCGAGCTAGATGATATAGTCGTGGAAAATTTTCGTGTTGCTTTCTCCAAAAGCTCAGTGGTTTTAGAAAAGCTTGCATTTGTCTCGATCTAACGATCAAGTTCGTCTAATATGTTCATTTATGATTTAACGCTTCTGTTGACCACAATGTGATACAAAGTTAATCAGTATTATAGTGACACCTATATGTAATACTTAATATGTGAAGTATTGACTAATTATCACAAGTAATATAATATTTAAGCAAAACTTTTCAAAAATTCAACCAAAAACTACATATAAAAATGCAGGACGAAGTTGTCTACTCTGTCCTGTACTGTCCAGCTAAAATCCCGTCCTACAGCACACAGGACAGGACAAAAGTTCTAGGCTTGTCCTGCAGGACAGAACAGGACAGCGGCATTGTCCTGTCCTGTTCTCGTCTCTGATATAAACTAATTTCCACAGAATTAATAAAGAACGTCGCAGTAATCTATGTTCGCCTAAGTCACAGCTTTACGTCTAAATTTAGCTGCATATACAATATCTTTCATCACAATAAGTCAGCATGAGAGTCACGTGGACTTACCTTTATGTAGATTCTTTTTTTTTTGGTGTTCGTACACATAAACATGTCTTTCATTATCAATATATATTTTTATCGCTCATTTAGTGTTTACATCATTATCAATCGTAAAAAAGTTGACTTTCATCTGAGTAGCAGGTCATTGCGGACACTTTTTTCATGCAAGTGTATTTTCTTAAAATGATGAAACCATTCGTTCGTATTTCACTTAATTCTTCTAGGGATCCACGTTTCACTGATGAAGTAAAGGCTTTTCATCAATTAGCTACTACACTCCAACAACCATCGAATACTTTATCGCCTGACCTGATGCGAGAATGGCTCGAAGATCTTCATGCTAAAGGTAATGAAAAGCTTATCGGAACATTCAATGGTAATCTTGAAGAGAAACAAGTGACGACAAATTCTGCCGGTAGATTTTGACGTAATAAAATATGGGTTTTATTCTTATCGAAGAAAAAATCAATATTTAGATATATTAATTAATATTTATACACCGGTTAATACCAACAAGGATAAATTGGTCGTTTACTTTCATGGCGGAGGTCAGACTATGATTGACGACTGATTTCGATTAATAAATTTCTTTTAAATTAGGCTGGACAATTGGCAGTCGAAGGACACATCAAACGATTGTTAATCTTCTTGCAGAGTATAAAAATTCCTTTTCTTTGCCTCTTCTTTGTTATTCATAGATACTATGTTCCTGATTTAGTGCAACAAAAACTGTTTGGATCTCGGTCGAGTATCGTCTAGGCCCAGAATATAAATATCCGATTTGGTTCAATGATGCATGTGATGTGACTAAGCATATTATCGAAAATAAAGAATCCTATGGTTTATTTATTTATTGGCATCTTCTTTCGATCTAACTATATTGATTATTCATTTAGGTGTTGATCGAACAGCTAAGATTGGTGTGGCAGGTGATAGTGCTGGAGCTATGATTAGCACTGCTGTTTGTCAAGAAGTGAAAAATATCGATTTTCAGGTGAGTGTTTCAGTTCTACGTTTGAAAATAGATCATCATCATTTTGATAATAACCAACAGATTCTCGTCTATGGTATGTATGATTTCACTCGTTCAGCATCATCTTACAAGGAATTCACTGATGAACAGTATTTTTCTACGCCAGCACTGCTTGACTGGTGTGACAAGTTTATGTTCAAGACGATATTTCGACACAAATGATTCGTCTTATTTTTGCAGGGTCATCAAGAATGGATTCGATGATGGAGTTGACATGAACGATCCTCGAATATCCGTCTTACAAAATACGTCACCCGATCGGTTACCACCAACTTTATTTATTGTCGCGGAATTGGATCCACTTCGCGATGATAGTTACGGTATGAACACACTTTATAGACAGGGAAGAATGTATTCTTATATGAATTGCATTTATCTGTTTTCAGCATATAAGGAAATTCTGGACAAAGCTGGTGTAAAGAACAAGCTCATACTTTTGAAAGGTGTTCTTCATGGGTTTTTTGCTTTACCAGGTAAGAAGTCTATGAGAAAAAAATATTTCATCAACACCATCCTTGTCTATATAGGAATCTATCCAAAAGTATGTACACAAGCTGTCGATGCTATTAAAGAATTCATGACGTCCATCTCATAAAAATATTCAGCAAATTAATTCAGCAAATTTTAATATTCCTAATTTCATTAAACTAAACAAATGTGTCAAAAATATGGCAAGAAAACAATCTATCTTTGCTAAGAGTAGTACTTTGGAAAGTATTGTCATACTATAGCTTACTCTTTTCTCTCTACGTATCATCGATATTGTTCATTATTATTTTCTTTTTCTTTTGTTTCTCATTAATCACGGTTCACTTTTTTTTTACATAATCATTATACTTGCTAGTGTATGAAAACGATCTGCTTTTTTTCGTTACCAACATGACAAATAAAGCGAAAATTCCCATTCCAATGGCATGAGGCCTATTAAGGTTGTTATAGACAGTTTGTGATTAATTGGGATGTCGGAGCGAATGTAAGATAAATTATATAACGAATATTTAATATCCTGCTTGTAATAAAAAATACTTGGCCTAAAAGTGCCAGTCAACATATCAACGCTATCAAAATATTTTCCAAGACATGGATTGAAAATTACATCAATAATACTAGACGACTGAATAAATGAATTAAGTACAGCATTTGCAGCAGCAAATACAAAATCAGTTGAAAACTATGTTGCAGCAATAATCCAAGTATGTGTAACATTATTCATAGATGGATCATGGTATAGAATATACTAAATTAGAAGTACGGGTGTGGATGTCACATCCAACCCCACATCCATAAGTGAATTAGTTGCAGTATGATGGTTATATAAATGATTGCAAGGTTAAGTGTCTTTGCAGAGCTCGTTGTTATATTATAGGCAAGTTTCTTCGGATCTGAGTACATCTGTACAGGTAAGAACTTATAAGTAAGTGTTGTTCTCAGTAATTAACTTTTTAACTTAATTATGATTCTGACGATCGGCTCTATCAAAAACGATCGTTTCCTATGCTTTGGCATTGGGTGGGTGTCGGTGTGGGTGGATGTGGGTGTGGGTCTGTGTGGGTGTGTGGGTATGGTTGTGGGTGTGGGTGGATGTGGGTGTGGGTGTGTGTGGGTGTGTGGGTATGGTTGTGGGTGTGGGTGGATGTGGGTGTGGGTGTGTGTGGGTGTGCGTGTGCGTGTGCGTGTGCGTGTGCGTGTGGTTTTAGACGAAGAGAACACCCACACCGACACCCGTCCAACGTTTTCGGTCAAGGAAAGAGTTTTTTTGATAAAATAGTGATACGCTATAAAGGTTGAGGATAGTAAATCGGGGTCGGAGCGTCCGGATCCGTAATCGGTTTCTCGACATTTTTAGTTGAACTTTTNTAAACTCTTGTTTTGTAAAAGAATAAACAGAGAGAATAAAACACACACACACACGTTAACTGTGTTCGTCGCTCTTTGGGAGCGCGAACGTTAACAACAATAATAAAAATTGAAAAGAAAAGCGCTTATTAGAGAAAAAAACAATGTTACCTTCAATTTGATCAAGAAATGGCTGAAAAATAAACAAAAATAAAAGTTGGTTTTCGATCATAAAACTGAGAAATATTTTACCAAATTATAATCACCGGGTAGTCCAAAGATAGTGTCAACATCCAATGATTTTAACCGTTGAAGCAAATAATTACCAATAGTTATTTTTTCATTGTCAGAGGACATTTCTTTTTTTGAGACTCAGATTGTTCGAAACACGAGATTTGATCTGAAAGTTAACTGGATATATATTTATATAAGAGACAACGCACTCAAGAGTGTTTTTTTCTTTCCTCTGACTTGCTTGAAACACTCAGACGATGCATGTTCTTCGTTTATAACATACAAGCCTTTTCATAGAACTCTATTCATCGAGAGACATATACTATGACAGAGAATCTCGATAAAAAAAAAGAAAAGAAAATGATATATATATATATAACTGGAAAACTCGGTGGAGACTACCATGGACTATTTAACGAAATCATCACTTAGATATCGTAGTGTTGATTTTCTTGGTCGTCATTCTTTTTTTCTGAACAACCTCGAATATGTCATAAATGATAAATATTTGACTATTCCTAATAGATTACAACTATCCATACACATGCATACGTCAAACCGAAGAGTAATTCATTGATAGGATGTAAAACGTTGGTTTTCTTTTCTTTTCATTCCTCACTGACACAAATGCTACTTTCTGTAGTCGGCTACTCCTCAATACAAAATATTCGATTAAGAATTGATTACTCTTGTTTATTGTGGAAGTCTTCGTCAACTAAATGTCACTTGTTAAATAGACAAGTTTTATGCAAATACTGATAAACTGTATAATCAGTATCAGTCTTATACATATTCGTTCTCTGTCTAATTCAGTACTGAATTAGAACAAAATGGTTACCTTAAGTTTCAATATTTTTCCTTTTTAAGTCAATTAATGAGTTTATTTATTGAAATTTTGTTGATAATACATAAGAGTTTTTGAAATGAAAGAAAATAACTTGTTGCTATGTAATAATACCACTAAAAAGAAATCAACAATAGAATGCTCAATTAATTCTCATGGAATTAGCTTAAGAGAACAGTTATTATTCAATGGAAAAAAAAAATGCATATTTTGCTATTATTCTTTCATATTTTTTTATTTAGAAAATAATTCGTATTTACATACGTTTTCTTATCAGATTATTATTTTTCGCATAGCCTTTTCTTGCTTTAAATAATAACTTACTCGAAAAAAATTTCATTCGTACACAAATGTTGATATTTTATTGCACGTTTATTTTTAACTCATTTACACAAATTTCTTATGATGATAAATAAAAGAGTATTTTATGAATGATCGAATAAATAAGATAAAAAGAAATTAATAAAATAGTTGACTCTCTGTAAATTGACGTTAAAACTCGAATTGCGCATCTGATAGTTGTTTTTATGCATATATATCCAAATTGAATGTCGACCTAGATTAAGGTCAGAAAAGTATCATGAGATATATTGGTTTCTCATCACCAATTAAGAAATTACTCGTAATAAAAATAAGAAACGCCATCTGTATTTTATCGATAGCAAACGACATCACAGGATATATTAATTTATATATTTATTATCGAGTTTTATCTTGCATGTTTTACGAAAAATAAATTAAGATATTTATTTCCGAAGATATTTTTTTGAAATTCATATTATATCGTTGTTTTTTTGTTGAGACATGTTAATCCTTTGATCATTTACAGTTTCATTAGAGATTCTTATGATGTATTATATGTACAAGTCAATATGATTTATCTGTTTTTTTTTTGTGTTAAACTTCAATCAAGATTTTTTCTATCAATAAATAGAATAATGCGAAGAGTCTTGTCAGTGGAGAAATCAATTACTGTTAACATCATATTAAACATAATAATCTTGCTAGATTATCCGAATCGGAAAATCATTATTTGGAAAGTTTTATTTAGTCTTAGTAGAATGCTTATAATTTTTCAAACATTCTATTCTTGGATAATTTTTTTTGGATTTTCATATGTAGAAAAGACTATTTTAATAAATAATTCTTCAGTTGAATATACATGTTTGACTGTTGACTTTAATTCTTGTGTCTTTTGATCTTATGACAAAATTTGTCAATTATGAAAATTCATAACAGATTATTATTTTTGATCATTTTGCAGATTATAATCATACTTATACAAAAAAAAAATTACTAGTAACTTTGTCAAAAGGATTTCTACCGTATTAACTTAGTACAATTGGTTATTCATTTGGAAATTTCTCGAGCAACAATCGTGAACAATAAACGTCACAAGGACAGATCAAATTATATAAAATAATTCATACAAAAATAAATAATTGTTTACTATACAATCTATATATGAGAACAAAAAAGATAATTAATGCTAATGTACAACAATAAAAGTATGCAATTGTCGCTTAACAAAAAATTTAAGGTCAAGTTTCGTTCCTTAAGCAGGAAAAACAACGGTTAAATGACAATAAAATCATGAAAAATGATTATGTTTGATTAGATGAAAATGGTTTCAGATGTAATAATATATACTCTCTATAAGACAAATCATTTTTTGACATTATATGTGACCGTTTCGCATCGTTATAATTATTTCGATTTGACGGCATTTTAATATCATTTTATCAGGTTTATCTCTGCCTCAGTATTTATTTAATATTCTTTTTTTTTCATCTACTTCCTTGCTGTATATCTAGTTCGATATATTTTCTCGATATATTGGGTGCCATCTCAATTGTTTTATGTACAAAATCGTACTCCAATTTCAAATGTACTCTCAAGAAACTCAAGTAAAAATATTTGAATTTTCCTCAGACCTAAAACTAATGAGTATTGTATAGAATGACACCTGTTATTTTCAACAAATTCTTGTTTTTTTCAGTATAGATAGTGCTGATGTATGAATGAAAACTCTTCTCATTTATCTAAAGAACAACGTAATTTATTCACCAATTAAAGTCATTTCTATCGTATCTTGTGGCTTATCAACATCAAATGAAAATTAAGTGAATAATGTAGATAATTTTTTTTTACCATTTTAATACTGTGTTGTAATTGTCTAATCCCATCATTATCTTATTAGAAGAGTGTTCTAATTAATATTTTGAATCAATTTGTTATTAGTGGAGTT